CTTGGACGCACTGATTGTATGTCTAAAAAGTCGTTTGCGGCTCCGCATCCTGGACTACATGGCCCACGGAGGTTACCTGTTTGGATGTTTTGGTTCTGTCCAAAAGCCGCAGCACCTGTAACCACCTGGTGGTGGAGATGCGCATGCTGGGCTTCGTAGGCATAAAAGAAAGAAGAAGCTGAGTCTGCGGCAAGCTGGTAACTGGTAAGACGATCACGGAGGAGCTGGGCATCCAGCCGGCCACGAGGCAGATGCTGCATGGTCAAGGTGGGGGTAAGCTGAGAAGCTAAAGAAGCTAGTGAGACGTAAGTTAGAGAATGTAATCCATGATCGCAGAAGTGATGTGGAGGCATTCAGATTCAAAATAGAACATTACCACAAGGAAAAAAGTATACACAAAGGCAGTTATATTGTCATAGAAATAAGAAGTCGGAAAAATGAAAAATGTATAAAAGGAAAAGTTGGTAGGTAAAGAATTTAAGTATGAAATATATAATATAGTTAAATAACTATATATTTGTTTGGTTGACTGATCTACGGAATAGGTATAATATAACAAAAAAGAGTCGATTTTAATGGGACTAATACTTGAGGATCCAAGGCTGAATATGAGGTGTACTTGACCCAAGTTGAAAATCGAAACATTACATATTCATTAGCAAATTTAAGTTTGAAATATTATTCGAATAAAAAGTCAATTGGATAAAATAATCGACAGGAGTGTGTGGATAGATCAAAATTATCCAGTCGCATATAATATAAATGAGCCGAAGGTTTAAATGAGTGAGTTGGAATAATTTCGAAGTGGAACAAAGCGAATTAGTTAGACATATCGACAACATGCAATTAAATACTAGGGTTAAGGATAGCAATTGATGTGAATTATAGTTACAGAAAACTTAAACATTTGAGTAGAGAAACGGACGAAAACATGGATGTTGCCACAAATGAATAACATGTAAGTCCGGAAGTGAATGAGGAGATAGGTTTGCTTGACAAAAGTAAATATAAAATATGGCCATCCTAACGAATAAGGCTAAATTAGTGGTAAAATGGTGTCAAGGCACCGTGTGCAAATTTTGATTACTTTTATGTTAAAAAAGTACGTGATAATTAGAAGATACAGAAAAGTTTGTTTAATTAGGCTGACACGAATAGCGGAGTTATTAACAGAATAGATAGATACCACCAAGAGGGTAGGGAAATCAGAGTACAAATATATACAAAAATAATTATGTACACAAACACGCAGACACAAATAATAAAATATATATAAATATATATGTATATATATTTATATATATATATACATATATATATAGATGGAGTGGAGAAGGGTGGATCAAGCAATCAAAAAATGAGATAGAAGAGGTATACAACGAAATAATTAATAAATAATGGCACCTGTAATAAAAACGATATTTAAAAAATGAATAAAACCAATGGATAATTAAATAAATTAGGCAATTAAATTAGTTCCTATAGGATTAGAGTAGAAAGTAGTAAAGTAAAGAAGCAAAGAGACTGCCGACTGTCGTATATCCTTTTAAATATATGGGGTTAATGAAATCGTTTGAATAAATTCCTTAGTGATAAATGATTAATAAAACAGAAAAGGGGCTTTAATAACATAGTAAATTATAAATTTATGAGTAACATAGAATCTAATATGGCATGAACCTCGTTTAATGTTTGCAGTCCCAATTTGACTAGTCGCAAAAATATCTCAAAGAAAGGCTATAAGCAGAGGCCGCTGATCATGACATCAATCTTTGACTAATAAAGGCTATAAAAGAAGAATATAAAAAGTTATGGACTGCATGAAAAGATGGCCAGATAGATCATTTATAGTGACGTTGATATCTGTATATAATGGTTGCATGCCTTGTAAAAATATCCTAAGAAATAATTGTCTTATAGAAGTTAATAAAGGCGATTTCACGATAGCCGGTAGATTTATAAGCTATGCCAAGATCCGAAGCATAAATATGCATGCATCTTCCTGGAATCTGAATTACCTCCTGGTAAAAAGACTCCTCAGATCTTATAACAAGTCTGCAAATTCAATGTGCTAAGCAAATATTTAAATGACTAATCCTCTACTTTCTAAATATTTCGACCATAATTCAGTCTCGCTTGAGCTGTAAAAATCCAAATTTTGAATCTTAATATTATCAAGCAAATGAGATTTAAACGTAATAAACTCGACAGGTACTGACGCAATTTAGACGTGTTATCAGGTTGACCTGGTTAAACGCACCTTGTGGAAAGTCCTTTTCTATGGTAGCTATGATAAATATCAGCGTTGAATAGTTAACTTGGTACATTCTTAAAAGTTTCGCCAGAATCATCAGCGAGTATTGCCAGTCATAGAACCAAGCTACAACTCACCATAGACAAGTTTTGGAATGTACCAAGTCCAAGAACAGAACGAATAAGTCGCTAAAACGAGGTCAAACAACTTCTACATAGCGAAAGGAGACTGCGACGAAAACAGAGGCCAAAAAGTCTTTGTCTTTATATTAACGAGTAAACTCGGCTCAGAATGTTAGTTGAGGCCAATATTACGATTCTGTAAAAGAAGCAGAGTATATCAAGAAAGGAAATCAGAGTGCTGCTACTAAGGCTGCGATTATTCTGATGATGTGCCTCAGGTAAAAGCCCATATAATTTAAAAATCAACTTAGGCAGAAAGCTTAGTTACTAAAATCCCTCGGGTATAGACCAATATGGCCAAGATTGAATGTCTGCACTACATGGCTTGACAACGCAATAGATAGGAAGAGGAAAATTTCACATATCACAGGAATCAGCACTACGAAACAAAGTTTTGAAGAAGCTGATTCTAAGGTAGCTCGCGTAAGAGTAAAAATAGCAGTCTATAAGAATTTTGTCCCTAAAGGTTTGCTTGAGAGAGCTAAAACTGATCCATAACCATCTTTTGCAAGACTTCATTGTAAGCATCTTAGGAACACTAATTAAAGGTTGCATTTCCATCCTCAACAAAAATAATTAAAAATGAGAATATGTGGAAGGTATCTATCTACCAAGTTAATGGTATACACCTTATTAAGAATGTGTGTAGTCTAGTACTAGTGAAAGGAGGGAAGAGGAAATGAGGAGACTACACCAACATGCAGTCGAATTAAATATAAACATAAGGTTTGAGAATAGACATGAAGACCAAGATGGTGTGGCTATGAGTTTGGTCGCAATCTCCTTTAGATTTATAATGTTGGTTTGACCTATGGCAGAGGACACAAGACTAAGTGCATTTCACAAGGTCTTTCTGAGGCTCCGATAAATTTGCGAAAACGAGGTCAAACCAACACTATAGGGTTCTGTCTTTTGTTTTTAAGCCATGCGAATACACCCAAAGAGTATATTCCTATATAAGTTTTTGCAGAGAGAAATTCGGAGATTGATTTGAGATGCTAAGTGGGCTTTATTGATATATCCAGCTTTCTAAGCAAAGTATTCGGAACAATGCCCTTCAATTGACATGAACCAAGGGAATTTTCAATGTTATTATAGTCACTCAGGTCTAATATTAAGCAAAAACACCAGAAGCAAAGAAATTTTGAAGAACTCATCCTACTAAGAATATATTTATTGCCAGCAGATAGCTAACGTAAGTGCTAGCGAATCTACCAAAGATCGCTATGGCTAAAACATCGAGGAATATCCTCCCAGTTAGATTGAGTCTTTAAACCAAAATTTTTGACGTGCTTAACTTAAGATGGAGATATAAGAAACTAGACTAAAATAAAAAAGCAAATAAGTAAATAAACCATGCGGGCATTTAACAAATATAAACGCACTAACCTGTTGCATCTTCCTCTGAGAGTGCGAGATCTAGGCTAACAGCACAGGTAAGAGCCATCGACTTGCGCCGCATACTACTCCGATGGAAGGCCATTGTAGCTGCCGCAGAGC